ATATAACCACAGCATTCATTCAATTATAAGTTAAACTGAAACATGTTTACCAGACTCTAACTGAAGGTGAAGTCAACAGGCCATAGTGGCCAGGAGTTAGGAGGTTCAAGTGAGATCTAATCGAGGCCTCATGACTATAGGCAACCAACAGGAACAAGCAAAGCCCTCCTTGGGCCAGGGAACCCTGGGAGTCCTTGGTGGTATCCAAACCATCCGTAGCAGACCTGGGTTTCCTCCAGCAGCAGCAGTCTCCACCACTTACTAATTAGTGTCATTGTTTTAATCACCATAACGAATGGTCCAATCCTATTCCTCTTCCAGCACATCAATGCACAAGACAGAAAGTTCAGTCAAAATCAAAAGCCACAAACACATTCATTTTACACATTTTTCAGGAACTGAGAAAGAAACTGGAGGTTTCTCCAAGCTGTGGTACCTAGAGGCTAACTGGAAAAACTGAAGGTAGCCACCCCTTGCAGACCTTCAAAACCGAGATGAAAAACACTTGCAAACTCACACACACACACACACATGCACTTGCCCTTAAAGGGAAAACAACAACAACAACAAAAACTGGCTAAGTGACTCCTAAAGACAAGATTCCAGAAACCCACAACTAACAACATACTCAATGAAGAGAAACTGAAACCCCTTCCTCTAAGATCAGGAACAAGATAAGGATGTCTGCTCTCACCACTTTTACTCAACATAGTATTGGAAGTGTTAGAGCAATCAGACAAGAAACAAAAGACATCTAAATGGATAAGGAAGAGGTAAAACAGTCACCAATGGCAGATGACATGATGCTACAGAAAACCCTAAAGACTCCACCAAAAAACTTAGAATAAATTTATTCAGTAAAGCTTCAGAGTACAAAATATACAGAAATCTGTTGTATTTCTATACACTAATAACAAAGTAGCAGAAAGAGAAATTAAGAAAACAGTTCCATTTATAATTGCACCAAAAAGAATAAATTACCTAGGAATAAACTTAACCAAGGAAGTCAAAGACCTGTACTCTGAAAACTATAAAATACTAGTGAAAGAAATCAAAGATAATAAAAATGGAAGGATATATTATGCTCAAAGAACGGAAAATTAATGTTAAATGTCCATATTACCTTAAAAAAATCTACAATTCAATATAATTCTTATCAAAATACAAAGAGCATTTTTCACAGAAGTGAAACAAATAATGCTAAAATTTGTATGGAACCTCAAATTACTCTGTAGAGCCAAAGCAATCTTGAGAGAGATGAAAAAAGATGGAGGTAGCACAATCCCAAATTTCAAGATATAACACAAAGCTAGAATAATCAAAATGGTATGGTCCTAGCACAAAAAGAGACACGTAGATCAATGGAACAGAATAGAGAGCCCAGAAAAAAAAAAAAAAAAAAAACACTTTTATGGTCAGTTAATCCATGACAAAGGAGGCAAGATTATACAGTGGGGAAAAGACAAACTCTTCAATAAATGGTGCTGGGAAAATGGACAGCCACACACAGAAAAATGAAACTAGACCACTTTCTTATACCATACACAAAAATAAACTCAAAATAAACGCCTAACTGTGAAACTGAAACTAATAAAGTCCTAAAAGAAAACAAAGGCCATAATCTCTTGGACATTTGCCCAAATACTGTGTTAGCAACATTTTTCTAGATATATCTCCTTAGGCAAGGGAAACTAAAGCAACAATAAATTACTGTGACTACACCAAAATAAAAGGCTTTTGTGCAGCAAAAGAAACCATAAGGGGGTCTAGGCAGCTCAGCTGGTTAAGCGTGTGCCTTAGGCTCAGGTCATGATCCCAAAGTCCCTGGATTGAGTCCTGCATCAGGCTCCCTGCTCAGCAGGGAGTCTGCTTCTCCCTCTACCCTTCATCGCACTCCTGTTCTCTCTCTCTCTCACTCTTTCTCAAATAAATAAATAAAATCTCTTTAAAAAAAGAAGAAGAACCCATCAGAAAAGTGAAAAGGCAACCTACTGAATGGGAAAAGATATATTTGCAAATGAGATCTCTGAAAAGGAGTTAGTTAGTATCCAGTATTATATAAAACTTACACAATTCAACACCAAAACAAAATAATGTGATTTAAAAATGGGCAGAGGATTGAATAGACATTTTTCCCAAGACATCCAGATGGCTAACAGACATATGAAAAAATGCTCAACATCACTGATCAGCAAGGAAATATAAGTCAAAAATATAAGGAGATGACTGTCAGAATAGCCACTGTAAGAATCTGGAGCCCAGCAGAAAATAGGTTTCTGAGAAGCAAGGGGAAGGAGTAGTAAGTTACAGAGGAAAAAACAGTAGCTTTACAAAATAAACTAGCATGCTTATAATGAATTCTTCACCCCTCCCCAAACACACCGAAGACCTAAAAGCAGAGGACATTGCTTACACCAAGGAGTCACAACGTTGGGGAGAGAAGCAGGACCAAGAGTCAAGGTGGAAGACCTTCTAAGATATCCAACTGACCAGAGAATAAGAAAGGCCAGAAGCCTCTTGACAGACTTAGAATACTACTGAATAGAAAATACTTTTTAAATACAAAATATCTTATGAAATAATCAATAACATAAAAATTATAAAATATGACTGTAAGACTGAGTAAGCAGCTATACAATAATCCCCTTCCTATTCAACTCATTCTGACAACTTTGGAGACCATCTAGGATATGACATATTGGTACCACAAAGGGGAAAGGAAAAAAAAAAAAAGGTAGGGGAGAGAAATCTGCAATAATAAGAAATAGCTTTAATAAGTTTAGCAATGTACACAATATAATTACACAATTACACACATCTTTTTTTTTTTTTTTCTTAGAGAGCAAGATAGAGCATGTATTCAACCAAAGGGGGTGGGGGGAGGACAGAGAAAGAGAGAGAAAGATAATCTTAAGGAGACAGAGCACAATGCAGGGCTCAATTCTAGGACACGGAGATCATAACCGGAGAAGAAATCAAGAGTTGGACACTTAACCAACTGAGTCACCCAGGCGCCCCTGATAACACACATCTAAACTATGTCTATTGACATAAGAATCATCTAGAAAACAAATATTTATGTCCTACAAAAATATCTGTGACACCTTGGTTTTTCAAATTTTTGATGCTGAGATGGTAAGGAGGGATGATATCAGATATCAGATCAGATCAGATTGTTACTCTGTAAGAACTAAACAAAGGACAGAAAGATGATGTTCGTCACAGGTGAGTAAGTGGGTATTGATAAGAGTAATCTGAAAGCAATCCATTCTCCATATACATTCGTTTCTAAGATATTTTAAATATATGGAAATAAAAGTACACCAATCGATGCTGGTAACACCAATGCACCCAACACAACAGTGTTAACTGATAACAATTTAAATTAAATTTCAGAACCTAAGACATGAAATACCAGAGACACAGCTAAAGCCCAACTACCCTAAGCCATCCCTTGCTCCTCCTTCCCTCCCCAGGAGTGAGCCTGGTCCTGAGTTACGACCAGGACATGCTCAGTAATGTTGTGAATCACATACAGTATAACTCCATATAGCTTAATCTCCTTGTTTTGTTTCTAAAGAGAACTTCTGACCTTTATAGGAATATTCTAGGTAAATATAAGGTGTTCTTTACCACTTGTTCTCAAGTAGACTTCTATATTGTAATGAAATCTATGATGGATAAACTCTGAAAGATCAGCAAGGAAATATAAGTCAAAAATATAAGGAGATGACTGTCAGAATAGCCACTGTAAGAATCTGGAGCCCAGCAGAAAATAGGTTTCTGAGAAGCAAGGGGAAGGAGTAGTAAGTTGATTTTTTGATTTCCAGGTTATCTAAAAGCAGGTTATTTCCAATCTAGAGTCCCAATTATAGCAAGGAAAGTCAAATTTTTAACACTCCTCACCAAATATTTATTAAATGTCTATGTTCAGGGCTTGAAAAAAGAATTTACTACTCAAAGAGGGATCACCAGGCTAGCAGCATCAGCATCACACCCAACTCCTGGCCTCCGGAATCTGAGTCTTTCCGTTAGCATGATCTCCAGACGACATGCCTGCACATTGAAGTCTAGAATGGTTTAAAGAATTCAGAAAGGTGACAACATAGACCAAGGCTGAACCAAATCAACCATCATTCTGCCAAACTCATCTTCTTCCTATCAGACAATATGGCTTTCAGGAGTTCTGTCTGCAAAGTCCACACATCAGTCTCATTAGACTGGTGGCTCTCGACCACCGCAGACCAGGCCTCCTAGAAGACACTTGGCAATGTCCAGAAACATTTTTGTCATAACCCGGGGGGACAGGTGCTACTGGCATCTAGTAGATAGAACCCAGGGATGCTGCTAAACGTCCTACAGTGCAGAAGGCAGTCCTCCACAACAAATAATTAGCTGGCCCAAAATATCAACAGTGCAAAGGTTTAAAAAAAAAAAAACAACTAAAACTAAAACTGAAACTCTTCCTTGATTTCCTGACTAAAATAATCAGTCAACTCCAGTAATTTAATGAACTGATTTGAGCATCCACATCCCATGAGGTAAAAAATAAACCAGTAACTATGAACAACTTCACATCCAACACTTTGAAGAGTGTAAGGTTCCCACAGGACCTCATACCAGGGGCACCTGGGTGGCTCAGTCAGTTAAACATCTGCCTTCAGCTCAGGTCGTGATCCCAGAGTCCTGGAACAGAGCCTCACATCAGGCTCCACGCTCAGCAGGGAGCCTGCTTTTCCCTCTCCCGCTGCCCCTCCCCACAGCTCGTACTCTCACTTGCTTAAATAAATAGAATCTTAAAAAAGAGAGAGAGTTCATACAAAATCAATAATCATCAACATTGACAACCAAGACCAATACAGTAAAACAACAAAGGTACATGTTGTAATATTTCATAATTATACAACCTAAATTCTAAAAATGCATTGCTATCACATATCCTTGTGTAATAAAAACATTCCAGTATTCACTTAATTTTTCATTTTTCTCCTACCATACAGGATCATTAGTGAAGAAACACTATGGCCACTTCAAGATGACAAGCCCACACTGGACTAAATTGTTTCATTGAAACAAAACCTTCTATCAAAAAAAGAAAAAAATTAAGGTAACTGAAAAGACTGTCCATATTACCAAGAGCTTTATTAATTTTATGAAATTTCTTCTCCAGAGAAAGTAGAATTATGGCACTAAGAATGGTGGAAGAAGATGGTCCATATGTAAGAAAGAGAGAGGTCAGTGTGTATAGTTACACAAAAGATGAGTGATGAGCCTCAGGCTGACGAAGCATGTTTTTATTAAGGTGAATGTTTCTGGAGTGACCAATGCTTTGTATGGCCTGAATTGACTAAATTCTGCCTACTAAAGAGAGCACCCAGAAGTTATATGTAATTCTCTACACTTTGAAATACTTAAAGTGCCACAATCCTCAGACCTTATATCATGCTAAGGAACAAGGGCACTCACTTTAAATTAGAATAAATCTGTGGCACTAAGCCACAGTTCTAGCTGTGCAGAAAGATTGAGAGAAAGCAATACATGGGCTCCTTTGAGACTTTAATAGCTATCTTTTGGTCTCATAAATCCCATTTCGCCACGTTCTTTAATTATGTTACCAAAGACCCAAGTGACAGAAGAAACTAAAATATTTCATTCCATTTCATTGTCCTTTACCCGGATTTGTGGGACAAGGAAGTCCCCCACCTAGGAGAAGCTAAAGACATACTCTTAAGTGTTCCTTTTTTAGAAGTTCTGCCCCATACAGAAATCTTTCTTCAACACAGTCTCAAGAATTTGGGTAGCACTGTTTACTTTCCTGAAGCTTTCACTACAGAAATTTGAGATGAACTCCGAAGTAACTACATGGGCAGGTCTGGCTGGACCTCCACAAACTGCCTCACCAGATCCTTTCCCGCTTTTTCTTCCTTTGCCTGTCTCTAGACATCTTTAACAGGATGGGACAAGCTGCTTAGAAAGAGTGAACCAACCAAGAGCCAGGAACAGAAAAGGAAGGGTAGTTGGATCACATGAAGACAGTCTTTGTTTTCTTTCTGATTCACTTGGTTCTTATTTTTGTATCAGTGTATAAAACCAGCATCAATATGTGACTATATCCTCCACTTATGAAATGATTTGAAGTTTTAGTTAGGACCCTTCATCAGGACATTGAGTCATCTGTACATTAAAGATAAGGAGAGACTGGGCAGATGTTACAAGGTCCAAGTGACACAAACAGGTCTCTGTCATGATCTTGTCCAGCTTTCCATCCAATACATATTCCTGCTTTTTGGTCTCAATATATAATTGTCCTCACTTCCTGTAGATGCCTCAAGATAGCTTTGTTTTCACACATCTCTCAATTTATCACTGTATAAAAGGCTGCCACGCTCTGAGACACTAAGACCAAGTACAGTAAAACATGAATTAGAGGACACAATGCCCTACCACAAACACCAATGCTCAAGAAAAGAAATATTTAACAGTTTAAAATTTACTACCAGAATTGTCTTGGGCTTACTTTCAGCTCATTCCTCATGTGGAGTGTCCCTTTGTCTCTGCTGTGCCTAACCAAATAACAACACAAGCAACAGTGATACCCTACTCTTTTCCCCAATCAGCATGTATCAAACCTTTCTATCCTAAAACAGCGACTCTTACCTGTGATTGCTTCAAAACAGCAAGAAAGAGTTTGAGGGGAAAAGCCCAACCAAGCCTTTAGTATTCACTACATTTCAGAAGGCTCTTCTGCTCTAGAAGTTCACCTGGATCAGTCGTGCCCCTCCATCAACCTCAAAGAGAGGAGGGGAGCTAGGAGGCAATAATGTACATCACAAGAGCATCTGTGCTCAGATTCTCAAAACTTTCAGGATTCTGAGAACACAGTTCTGGACCCATGCCATCAGGCCATCAGGAGAGAAAACCAATTATTTAGTAGATACACTCTTTGCCATAGTAGACATTTAAAAACAGAAAATGTAGCCCTTTTCTTACTATCTAAAATTTGGAACAGGTTACAGAAAACCTACAGAGAAGCAAATGACTACATACTATTATGATCACAGCCAAGTGTGCAAGAAGTAAAATTCCCTTCCAAAGGAAGTGCAAGGAATGGTAAAATCAAATGGCTAAGAATATTTCCACTTTTGCCGTATGGTATGCATGAAGAAGAGTACACAGAACCAATGTATTCTTGTGTAAGAAATAGCACACCAAGGGGCACCTGGGTGGCTCAGTGGGTTGAGCCTCTGCCTTCGGCTCAGGTCATGATCTCGGGGTACTGGGATCGGGCCCCGCATCAGGCTCCCTGCTCAGCGGGAAGCCTGCTTCCCTTCCTCCCTCTCTCTGCCTGCCTCTCTGCCTACTTGTGATCTCTGTCTGTCAAATAAATAAATAAAATCTTAAAAAAAAAAAAAAGAAAAGAAATAGCACACCAAGTTCGCACATATGATTGTTTTATTTGGAATGTGAATGAATTTCATACCCACATTTCCAAACTTAACTTTCTCACACATCCCTCATTTTACTAACATAGGCACTCACTCACTGTGTTATAAAACACTGTGCTTGGCACCAGGAATACAAAGATAAACAAGATATATTCTCTGATCTCAAAAGAACCACTATCCTCTACAATCATTCTTTCCCATGATTCCTGGCTACCTATAAATTTCTTAAGAGCAAGGATTCATGTCTTGAATTCCCAGATTGCCTGTCCTTTTATTACACAAATATTTTAACTATCTTATGTCCTAAATATAATGCTAGAAATACAATGGTTAAAAATGACATGATCTCTCTATGAAAGGGCTTACCACAGAAGGAAAAAAAAAATGGAAGGGGAAATAAGCTTTGAGACAAAGAGAAAGGCACAGAACCAGGAGCACATTTACAAAAGGACCTCACACCCAAACAACTAAAAGGTAGGAGAGTCAGGTTTTCAAAAGGAAATGACACCCAACTTGAACCTCAAGAATGAAGGGAAGTTAATGAGCAAGAAGGTAGCAAAAAGGGTTTCCAATGAACGAAAGTTTGTGTAGAGGTCCAAGGAGAGAGAAATCATGGAACCTACAAAGAGGTAGATGGGTTCAGGAACTCATTACTGAGGATGCAAGAAGCAGGGATCAGACCAAGAAGGGACATTGGCAGGTTGGCATTCAAGAGTTAGAACTATATCCTGAGGCCAAAGAATGACACTGGAGGGTTTTAAGCAAGATGTGGACATTTCATAAAAGATGGATGCTGAACATTTGCTTTGATGAATCAAATAATCTTTCAAAGAAGTTCTAATCTTTCTTGGGCTCTAAAACAATACATCTGACACCAGAGAAGAATATATAGGATTCCCTAACAAAAGAAGGTTTTGAGTTAATACTTAGGACAGTGTTGGCCAATAAAAATACAATGCAAACTTTAAATTTTCTAGTAGCCATATTCTTAAAAAAAGTAAAATTACATGAATAAAATCTTTTAAAAAATAGTAAAAAACTGAGATATTTTACTTTTCTGAGTGGGGGGGTACTAAGTCTGTGAAGTTCAGTGGGCATTTTATAGTTACATCACATCTCAATCTGGACGGGTCACATTATGTGCTCTATAACCACAAATGGCTAGTGGCTACCATGTTAGAGCAAATCGAGAATATTTCACAATTTTCTGGAATTTTTAAGGTACATTTGTCATCTGTATTCCTTTTCTACTTTATAAGAATAACATAAATCAGTTTTTCAATGGAAAAAATAACACAGAAAAACTCCATTTTGGAAGATACTCATAATCCCATACTCACAATACCAGCTACATTTGGATGTATATATATATTTTAAAGATTTTATTTATTTGACAGACAGAGGTCACAAGTAGGCAGAGAGGCAGGCAGAGAGAGGTGGGAAGGCAGGCTCCCCACTGAGCAGAGAGCCTGATGTGGGGCTCGATCCCAGGACCCTGGGATCAAGATCCGAGCTGAAGGCAGAGGCTGTAACCCACTGAGCCACCAGGCGCCCCTGGATGTATATGTTTATAGGATACTATCCTATGTCCAAAATGTATGTAAGATAGGTTTTTAAAAAGTTAAGGTCTGTCAATAGCCCTTAAACTTAACATATTAAACAGACTTCTGGATAAAATGTTTTTTTTTAGTTTTGTTACTTTTTGAGACTACATTCAAATGAGTACTTCTGGGGCACCTCCGTAGCTCAGTCAGTTAAACATCTGCCTATCTGCCTTCAGCTCAGATCATGACCTCAAGGTCCTGGGATGGAGTCCTGCATCGGGCTCCCTCCCTCTTCCTCTGGGCCTCCCCCTCCTGCTTGTGCTCTCTATCTCTCGCTCTAATAAATAAGTAAAATATATAATAAATAAATAAATAAATAAATGAGTACTTTCTAGAACTTGGGAGTCTTAAAAGGAACTGTTACCATTTTAGGAAAACGTTGATACCATTACCTACAGCTCTCAGAATGTCCTGCTTCTCCCATTTCTCTTTCCTGTCATCTGTCTACTCTATTCTTCCCTTTTCAAAAGGAAGGAAGAGATGAAGGGAGGGAGGGGGGCCGAGAGGAGTGGGTGTCTAACTAATATGGAGCAAACACTTAATTTCAAGAACGTGACAAGTATATCCACTTGTCTTTGTTCGATTATTCAACAAATTATTTATTAGACGCTGTAAGTGCCCTTTGAGTGACTGCCTGACATTGCTTCCCAGGCCTCACCTCCAGAAATTACACAATGATCAATTCCACCGCCACACAGCCTCCAGAGGAGTCCTGCTCCCGGAATATCCTCATCACTCAGCAGATCATTCCTGTGCTGTACTTTGTGGTCTTCATCGTGGGGACCCTGCTCAATGGTGTATCTGGATGGATATTCTTCTACGTGGCCAGCTCCAAGAGTTTCATCATCTATCTCAAGAACATTGTCGTTGCTGACTTTCTGATGAGCCTGACCTTCCCCTTCAAGATTCTTGCTGATTCGGGACTCGGTCCGTGGCAGATCAATGTGTTTGTGTGCAGGGTGTCTGCTGTGCTCTTCTATGTCAACATGTACGTCAGCATCGTGTTCTTTGGGCTCATCAGCTTCGACAGATACTATAAAATTGTAAAGCCTCTTTTGACTTCTTTCATCCATTCAGTAAATTACAGCAAACTCCTGTCAGTGGTGGTCTGGATGCTCATGCTCCTTCTGGCTGTCCCCAACATTATCCTGACCAACCAGAATGCCACTAGTGGGAAGGTGATGCATATAAAATGTGTGAAACTTAAAAATGAACTGGGACTTAAGTGGCACAAAGCATCAAACTACATCTTTGTGGGCATCTTCTGGATTGTGTTTTTTCTGTTGATCATTTTCTATACTGCCATCACGAGGAAAATCTTCAAGTCTCACCTTAAGTCCAGAAGGAATTCCATTTCAGTCAAGAAGAAATCTAGCCGCAATATATTCAGTATCATGTTCGTGTTTTTTGTCTGTTTTGTACCTTACCACATTGCCAGAATCCCCTACACACAGAGCCAGACAGAAGCTCATTACAGCTGCCAGTCAAAAGAAATTTTGCTCTATGTAAAAGAATTCACTCTGCTACTATCGGCTGCAAATGTATGCCTAGATCCTATTATTTATTTCTTTCTATGCCAGCCATTTAGAGAAATATTATGTAAGAAAATGCACATCCCATTAAAAGCTCAGCATGACTCAGAAACTTCCAGAACCAAAAGAGGAAATACAACGCATGAAAGCACAGACACTTTGTGAATTCCCACCTCCTTTCAAATAAAATCCATGTACACATATTGCAATCTTCAGTTACATAAGACTAAATAAGAAACATGTCCATGCTGTGGGGCGCCTGGGTGGCTCAGTGGGTTAAAGCCTCTGCCGTCGGCTCAGGTCATGATCACAGGGTCCTGGGATCAAGCCCCACATCAGGCTCCCTGCTCAGCAGGGAGCCTGCTTCCCTTCCTTCCCCTCTCTCTGCCCGCCTCTCCTCCGCCTACTTGTGATCTCTCTCTGTCTAAATAAATAAAATCTATTAAAAAAAAAACCCAATGTCCATGCTAATAAGTATCATCTCTAGGCATTACAATCCAATTTAGTATAATAAAAAAAAGAAAATACACGTTTCCCTGCTTTTTTATAACATCAGAGAAAAAAGTAATACATGCGTTACTCCACTTTATTCCATCGAAACAGAAGATTTAAATCACTAGCCTGGGTCAGTTAATGTAGAAATTAGAATAGCATAAAGAAAATAGGAAGCTATCAAGACAATTCACTGGGGCATCTTCCTTCTCTAAATACAAGGATTAAGTTATGTGATTCTTTTCAACAGGGTCACTAAAGATCAACTTAAAAGCAAGCACAGTTTGATAAAGAACTAGGGACATGTTTGTAGTGAAAAAGTCAAGTGTTTTCTGATTTGAAGACAAGCAGACCAAGAAAATCACTTAAGAAATCCCCTACTGATTTATCTATCTCATGGCATTTCAAAGGAAAGTTGATATAAATTCTCTTCTTTGCAGGAAAAAAAAAAGTAATTTTTCTGGTAGCATTCTGAGAATAAAATAAGATACATTTTAAATGTGTTTTATCTGAAGACTTATTAAGCCACTACATGAGCCTGGAACTCTAATGTTAAAATACTTCTAGGTGGACTCTATTGAAGGAAGCTGGATATTGGTAAGTGTTGCCAGCAACTTCCCCTGTTCAATGGTATAGGGAAAAAATACGTTGACTGGGACAAAGGCACACACATACATACATAGTGTGTACATATATATACCTAGGGGTAGGAGAAGCAGTTTTCTTAGAAAGCAACTGGAAAATCTAAAACGAAAATCTAAGATTTATAATTATGAGCGAAAAAATACACATAAAATGAAAATTTATATGTCACATTGTTTTTGAAAAAGCATTTGAATTTAAAGTGTGCAGATATGGGATATGGTTACGAGCTTGTAAGTTATCAAAACTAAATTATTTTTCTGCTATTAACTGGCTAAAAGATATCCAGACCATCTTCCAAATGTTCTTCACAAACATTTTTTAAGTCAAGTGCATATACTTTTTTCCCCTTGCTGTAATAATAAAGTGAGTATTTTCAATAGCATTTGGTTTTTCTTTTTAAAAAATCAAGGGAGACGGGGCACCTGGGTGTCTCAGTCGGTTAGGTCTCTGCCTTTGACTCAGGTCATGATCCCAGGGTCCTGAGATCAAGTCCCACATCTAGTTCCCTGCTCAGTGGGGAGTCTGCTTCTCCCTCTCCACCTGCCCCCCCTCCTACCTGTGCTTTCTCTCTTTCTCTCAAATACATAAATAAAATCTTTAAAAAAAAAAAAAAACTTAAAAAATTACGGTAGGAAAAAATAATGCCAATTTTCTTCATAGTCATGATATGGGTGGTTTCTTTAATACCCTAATTATGCATAAAGGAAGGAAGACAGTTACCTAGAATAGTCAGAATTTTTATTTGCCACAGACTTTCCAAAACAACTATTTCATATGCTCTGGGACCTCAATAGATTTTAAGAAAAACTCAGAAAATACACCTCACATTAAAGAAGAGCTAGGAAGGTATTTACTCTGTGTCCACATTCCATCCTCATAAAAACTCCCTGCTCCCAAATGTGGGTCAAATATCCTCTCTCAAAAAGAAACAAATCACCAACCTATGACAAACATGCTTGGCAAAACTAAGCTTGCCGTTTATGTTTGGCTAACTACATCTGCAAAAGAAACTGGCTGTGCTTACTCTTCACAGTTCCCACTGGCCAGGGCAAATGAATCAACACTGGTGTTTCACATGCGTCCCCCCAACCCCACACACAGACACTGGGCCACAGGAGAAAATGAAAGTAAAAAAGAAAAGGAGGAGCACCAGATAATGTCTTTGTTTACCACTGTGCTAAAGCAGATGGGTAATGTGGACATCAAGGTTTTTCAGGAAACAACACGCAATCCAGGTAAGAATACTGTAAAGCAACCATTGATTAACAGTTACGAGAAATAGAGTAGAGCGATGGCAACAGTGGATCAATCCAGAAACTTCCCTGAGGTTACCAGTACTTTTTTTTTTTTTTTAAATTATGTTACGGAGTAATTTCTGTAGCTAGTTTATAATACAGTTTTATAATATATATTTTCCTCTAAGAAAGTAAATTAACACAATCATATTGGAGAAACAGTTAAAGTATTTTTAAAAAGTGACATATGGGAAAGGAAAGCCACATGTTGTTAAAGTGGTTCTTCCGTGGGGATGTCCTGTCATGAGAAGATAATTTGCATGCCACTGATATCTTGCAGAGAACTGGTGAGCAAAAGGTAGTAATAGCTTTGTACTGTTGAAGACCACACCATACCAGTTCTCTCCCAACCCCTCCCCACACAAACCTCACAGTGCGGTTTACCCAAAAGGAAATCTCGTATCACTCTGGGAGGATGGTCTGATGTCACAGTTATTTTTTGTATTAATAAAGATACTTCTTCTTCTTGTCCAGAGTCAAAGGACATAAATAGCAGCAATGGGTTTAAGGACAGAATAGAGACCTAATGGCAAATATTTTATTAACATCATCAAGTAGAAACAAAACTTGTATGAGGGTGTTTTCTAGAATTTCTGGGTTAATCTTCCAGAGGAAGTCAATGTATCAGAATTGTTTAATTTGTAGGTGACCAAAATATACAACTTAAACTGGATTTCTGCAATAAAAAGAGATATACTGGCTAACAGACCTAAATGTCCCAAGTTGTCATTATGGCTTATTTAAGGGCTGATTGGGGGCCTCAGCTGATGTAACAAAAGCTGGTTTATACCATTTTTGCAGCCACCTTCCACAGTATTAGGAACTCAAAAAAAGCTGTGGGCTCTTTTTTCGTGGTAGCAAAACGAAAGAAGCATTTCTAGACCTTAAATCTTCACAGTCAGTCCTCCAGAGAATTTCTTCAGAAACCTGGAACTTGGCTTTCATTGGATCATACCAGCTTATTTTCCATCCCAATCTGTGGCCAGTGGAATCTGACATGCTGGTTGTCAGTTATGGCCTGACCCTGATATGAGAAGCAGAGTGAGCACTGTGATAGGCCTATGGACAAGAACCGCAGAAAGTGGGTTTCTCAAAGGAGAAGTCTTGTTTTTACTGCTGAGAAAATAGAGTCCAGAGGCTGCGGAGATAACGAACAGATGAGCACCCCTAGCAGGAGGCAGCCTTTTGTAAACAACCACTGTCAGAGTCACATATCTCAGTGGGCAGCTTTCATGGGTAAACTTAGATGATTATGATGTTTGCTTCCTGATTCTTACCACAAAAGTTTTTTATTTAAAAAAAAACTTCAGGGGCGCCTGGGTGGCTCAGTGGGTTAAAGCCTCTGCCTTCGGCTCAGGTCATGATCCCAGGGTCATGGGATCGAGCCCCACGTCGGGCTCTCTGCTCGGCGGGGAGCCTGCTTCCTCCTCTCTCTCTGCCTGCCTCTCTGCCTACTTGTGATCTCTGTCTGTTAAATAAATAAATAAAATCTTTAAAAAAAAAAAAAAAGGAAAAAAAAATTAAAAAAAACTTCAGAATATTTTTGTATAGGTAGCTGACTCAATTACACATCAAAATGGAATCATGGTTCAGTTAAACTCTAAGAGTTCCTATTAATGGGGGATTTTTAGACATAGTCAAGAGCCATTTTCAAACACCTTTCTATTAGATTTCTGCAGTCCATAAGTTGTGAAACAGCTAGTGGCATACCATCTTCTACCTACAGATGTGTTTTCTTTTAATTACTGTCCCAACAAATAAAAGCATGGGGAAGCAACTGGCTCCAGCTAAGGGCCTGCTAGCCTCTCTTGGTGAGGCAAAAGCTCTCAACTCACTATCATTCCCAGCTTTCCTTGCTTTCTATTGTTTCTTACACACTGTGTATCAGGCCTTCTTTCCCAGCATAGGCATCTAAGTTTAGAAGCCGCCCTGGGCACCCTGAACACTCGAGGACTCGCATGACAGCTTTCTCTACGGTAGGACCTGGAATATGTTCCCTTTTAACCCGGGGCACTCCAAAGCAGTTTCAGGGTTGGCAGAAAACATAAAAAGCTAAGCCATTTTTATCTCTCCCACTGCAACAGAAGCTGGAGTACAAGCACGAAAAGAGTTATTATGAAAACAGGCCCGCTCTCAACAACAAAGTAGATGAGAAGTATTTTCATTGACAAAGACTACTTGCTGCTTTTTGAATGTGCTCATTGCATAAGTATGACTTCTCTCATGGTCACAGTTAAGATCTCTGTGATCTCATCATCTCAACCCACTTCCCAAACACTACCTTCAGTGCTTTGGGGACCTGAAATATAAGACTGTGGGCCCAGGGTCATCTTGTTCTATTTCCAACCTCCAGATGTCACCAGCACCGTTCCACATGGTGTCAGTATGTCAGGCGAAGCCCACAGCTGCACTACCTCCTGCTTCCCTCCCAGATCCCAGGTCACTGTGTAACTGTTAAATCTTCCTCCCAAGTGTATGACAAAGTTCTAAAGGTTTACTTTCCTATCATCCCATCTCCTGACATAAAAGGCCACTGAAATGTGGCTCTCATCTTCCCCATACAATACTTCACTCTACTTAATAATCCCTTTTCTAAACTAAAAGATTCTCTACATTTAACTAGGAGCTTTTTCAAGCTGTTAATTATTTACACTCTACTTTTTACACCATGGCTTTCTGAAGGAATACTGGCTCTCCCCGATATTTACTGACCAAAATGAGAAGTTAATTCTCATTTTGTTTGTAAATTAACCACCAATTTTAATTTTTAAAAAATTGCCACTATTAAAAAAATAATCGCAATGCCACGACCAAATGTGTTTTCCTATCTGGTTGATACTATGAAAGT